TTGGTGGTAGGATTCACCTCATAATGGGTCTATACAACAGGTAGACTAGCTTAGATGATAAATTTTGAGCCCTGGAGTTGTGGATGAAAAAAGGCTTCTAAGTAACCTCACAGGGTAATGTGATCGTAAATTCCTAATTGGGCAGGTCATGGTCAAGCCCCAAGCATGTAACTATTTTAGTAGATTTTATCTTTGCCTTAAGCAGCCCTGACCGTTGTTTCTGCGGCAGTACCCAGCTCTGTGGGTTGTCCCCACTGCCCTCTTGCTACTCATAATTTTGTTGAATCTCCTGTATAAAGGAGAAATTCCTCAAAATATACAGGCATTACAAGCTGCATATTTGATCACTGGCTGAAAAATTTCTCCCCTGTGATTCTGATTACTGAATGAATAATAAAAGCCAGGTGATCATGCTCTGGTGTTTTAAACTACTTTGGATAGTAACAGTGTGGGGTTTTTTTTTTTTTTTAGAAACATCATTTTTAAAAATTTTTTATTTATTTATCTTTTTAGAAGGGAAAGGAAGGAGAGAAATATCAATGTATGGTTGCTTCTGGTGCATCCCTTGCTGGGAACTGGCCTGCAAACCCAGGCATGTGCCCTGACAGGGAATCGAACCACGATCTTTTGGTTCACAGGCCCCGTGCTCAATCCACTGAGCTATACCAGCCAGGGCTGGATAGTAACAGTGTTTTTTATAAGTTGCCTTATTGGGTTTTGATACCCAAGGTTAAATTTTTATTTTATTAACTTTTTCTTCTGTTCCCCTATCAGGGGTTTTTAACCTGGGATCTGCAAATTGATTCTCTATGGTGAATGGAATTCAAGTAGTCTGTGACCTTGGTTGGGGTAAAAAAATGACATCTTTCAGTCAGTCACTCTCTAAGTACAGTTTAGAATTTATTTCAACTGTGAATGTAGACAACAAACTATAGTAGCATCAGGAGTACCTGTGAACACATTTTCGTATCCTGACACAGCGCTTACAGTGATCTTGAAATTGCTAAAAATTATCACTATTTCAAAATTACTATGGTTATTACAAGATCTTATCTAATTTTTTTAAAAGCACATTATATCCAAAGAAAATATTTTGACAGTTATACCACTGTATTTTATCTTACGCATTTAAAAACATTATTCTGACAAGGGCTCCACAGGTTTTACCAAACTGCCAAAGGAATCCGTGGCACCCAATTGCCCACGGACTCCCACTCCTAACTCCTGCACTTCTGATGTAAGTGTCAAGTTAGCCAGATCCTATGATGCAACACAGCATGCAAATCATGTCACAGCACATGTAACCATGATGTCACACATTATGTAAATCCTTTGGCCACTGACTCTTGTGTACTAAATCATTATAGATTCTGATCTCACAAATGAGAGGGAACAAAATGCAAAACGGAGAATACAATGATTACCACAAGCTCAGGCAGAATAATTTTCCCTTTGTATTAAGAAAGTGTATGCTTGTATAACTTACAATCACTATTTCCAAAGGAGATCTATTTAAGTGCCGCAAGTTAAATAAAACAATGGGCATCTTCACTGACCTGTGGGATCTTCTTGCCCTCTTTTGGGTGCATCAGCAAATATGCTTGAAATTGCTTCAGATCTGGTCTTCAACAGCTTCCCAACCTTTTATGTAAGCTTTTATTATGCTAAACTAGGGAACTCTAAAGAGGTCGATGAACCTCAGGTTTGAAATACTTGCTGTTATTAGAAATACACATCCTCATTATCAGTCTACTTTGGTGTATCATGTTTGTATTTCCTCTATCACCTAGAAAACTGCTTAATGAAGGAGATGAAATACGAGTGGTTGAACAATTACAGTGTTTTCCAAAAAAATAAAGCACTCATTTAAAACCCATATTTCTTTTTTTAATTGATTTATTTAATTGTTGTTCAAGTACAGTTTTCTGTCTTTTACGTCCATCCCAGTCCACCCCCCAGTGCTCCCCACCTCCCTCCCATTTGAAACCCATATTTCTAATAAAGGCGCTGACAATTATCTCAACAACAACATGGTCAAGATTTATATACATTGTCAGCAGTGAAAAGGGCTGTGTGAGTTTAACTGGAGTATATTTCAAGGTAGTAATGCTGAATTTTTAAAAATACATCTTTAGTGTCTATGAATGTATTCTAAAATATGTAAACATTTGTGAATGGTGGATAATGTTTTAATACTAGACCAGCAATTTTCAACTCTCTCAACTCATGGCACAAATAAACTAATTAGTAAAACTCTATGGCACACCAAAAAATTTATTTTTTTTGACGATATGACCAAAACATAGGTGTAATTTTGATTCATTTACACAGGATAGCTATTGTTTCGGCTGTTATCACTGTTTAACTTGGCGTCTAAGGTAAAAGAAGTTAGTGCCCCTGACTAAAGAGTCAGGTATTGCGTGTTTAAAAAATTTTTTTTAACTTGTTGAAAATCGCTGTGCTAGACAAACAATACTCAATTTTAATACACATTTGCAGTTTGTCCCTTACTAAACAGGAAAACAACTTAGTTCTTTATTTGACATGAGGATCAAAGGTGGCATAATAATGACATGCAGATTTACTCAAGGGATATTTATTAAACAATTACTATGTGTACAAGTATTTACTAAAAAGGGAAGAAATATATATTTCAAAATATGGTTTAAAAACTTTTAGAATGAGAATAAAGCTTTGAAAGGAAATATTATATCCGAAGTCTCTCATGGTGCCTGGTAAGCCGTTAACAAATTGCTAAATACCTAAAAATTCACAAATCTCTGGTCTGTTTTTTCTCATATCCAAGTCCCACCTTCCTATTTCTCCTCTGAAACAAAACCAGAATGGCCACGCAGGCATTTACATACCACCTAAATCCTGCGTGGGAATGCAAATTATGGATTGAAAACACAATGGGAAAGAAGGATTTAAGCTGAGAAAAGTTATTACTCAAAATATCAATTTTCAGATATCAAAAATCATTTACACCCCTTTTTATGGCGTGCCAATCTGATTTTCCAATGGGAGTCAGAACACGTAATTCCCACCCAATCATTAACAAAAACTAGGATAATAAATCACGCCCTCTCCAACCTCAGTTTCTTATTCTGTAAAATAAGGGAAACTCCCTGTGCATTAAGATCTTTTCCAGAGTTAATATTATATGCATGAATATTTAAAAGGCTAAAAGATATGTAAATAATTGAAATACCAATCTGTTGGTTTCATCCTATGGTGGTTATGATCTTTTTTCCTTTTTAATCTGTTTAGGCATGTTATAGCCTATTATGGTAAGCTTACAACTAACTAAACCTTTAAACCTATTCAGCTATAAAAATCTCACAAAATGCTCCCCAGAACAGTAACTTGCATATTTAACAAGGGTCACTGCAGTCCCATGAAAGAACAGCATCTAGCTAAACCCTCAATTACTAAGGTATGCTCAACTTCTGTTTAATACCCACTACCTGTTTTAAGGGCTAGAAGTCTTGAGTTCTTTATCATTTCCCTGGCAGTTTGAAGGCACTCTGCCTCAGGGTGGAAGCCTTGGACTTATGGGTACTATTGAATGCTTAACTAAAAAACTTAACATACACAGACAGCTTCACCTCACGAGGCTGAGAGCTGACAACAAAATTCTTAATGGCTAATTCCTACTCGCACTCTTCCCAAGTCCTCACATAATTCCTATCACAACATTCCAGCAGTTACTAATCTCACGTTTATTTTATCAGGGCATTGACGTGTACATTTTATTCCCAATCCATGCTGTTTGAAAATTTTTTCAAAATTAGTTGTGATAAAGTGGCTTGGAAATATTTTACAGTAGACGCCTAGTTTATAAGCAGACCCTAGAAACTCGGCTAAAGTAGTATGAGTTTGTTAAGATACATTACAAACTAGTTTTAGCAAGTGCTTGTCGCACCAAATAAGTCAAGACAAAGAAATGAAACGTGAAAATGCACGTGGAAGAGGAGGATGTACTTGGAACAAAAAGCACGTATCTAACGCTATCCTTCAGATTCCTCAACAGGGTCGCCCCAAAGACCACGAGCGCCGCGGCTGACGTGCTGCAGCCACAGGTTGAATGACAAAGAGCCCCCGTCAGCACTGTCTTCTTGGCAAAGTCCACTCGAACCCTGCAGTCACGCCCTGGCTGCGGGGACTGCAGATTTCCAAACCACTATCGCCGGTTACCAGGTGGGACAAGGATTGGCTGGCCGAGGAGGTTGGGACGGGCGTGCCACGAGTCCAAAATAACTCGCGCCCGAGCGAGTCCCTTTCCTCGGAGCAGAATGCGGCCAAGAGAGTCTGGAGGAACCACGTGAGTCACCCCCACGTTGTCCCTTTTTCAGATCAAAAGCATCTCTTAAGGAGCCTTCGGAAGACTAGTGAGGAAACGACTTCCCCAAGGTCACCGGTACCAGGACCCAACTTCTCGGCCAGGCCGGTGACTGGCACCTGACCGCGGGGGCCGCAGCCCGTCTAGGAGAGGCGCTGTCCCCAGCGCCTCAAGGTCTCCTTGCCCAACGCGGCGCTCCTGGACCACGAGGCTGCTCTTGGCCACTTGCCCCCTGCCGGGCCACCTCCCTTCCCCGGAGACCAAGTCCCAGCTTACCCGAGGCTCCCTCCCAGAAGCCGAGGCAGCCAAGGCACCCCGGGGTCCGCACCCAGCGCCACGGGCGATTACCCAACTAACCGTTATGCGCGGCTCCGGCGTCAAGCGTGTGCGTGACGAGGCGAAGAGGCGGCGCAGCCCGAGCTCCGCGAGGCCCAGGGCCCAGGTCGCGTCCTTCGCCCGCTGCCTCCTTGACTCCCTCCAGCACCCAGGAGGCTGACTAGTCACCTCGCCGCTCGCCAGCACTTTGTCGGGCCCCGCCGGCGAGGAGGCTTTATAACCTGCGGGGTTAAGGGGGGGCCGGAGCATGCGCAAAGGGGGCGGAGTCAGCCTTCCCAGCCGCCGCCCCCCCCTCCTCCCCCACCTCCATACTTAACACTCCAACTGCCACTCGCGCCTCCACAGGGTTTCGGGCGCAGGCGCGCGCTCCGGGGCGCGCTCTCGCTCGCGCGCGCGGCGCCCCCTCTCCGCCACGTGACCTGCAGCTCGGCGAGACCCGTGCTCCGGTCCCCAGCCCAATGGCGGGGCCGGAGACCCTCCTCTCCGCGGAGGTAGTCGCCCCTCCATCGTCCGAGGAGTTCGTGGAGACCTGCACGCGTGCGGCACAGTAATGCCGGTCAGCCCGGGTTTCTGACGTAAAAAGGGGAAAGCCGCCAAGGACGGATGCCGCGCGCCCCTAGGGCCTGACTCAGGTGTGGGGGCGATGCGCGCGCGGAGGCGCGGGGAGGCGCCTGGAAGTGGAGGGACCGGGCTGGGTTAGAATGGGCGCGGGGGGCGGGGGGACTTCGGGGAAGAGGTGGAGGGGCGGCGGTTAAGAGCGCGGGCTGTGGGGTCGCCTCTGGAGTTCCCTGACCTCGGGGAAGCCATGGAAATCCTCGGGGCCTGTTTCCTGTTCTCTAAACCGGCAGCAGTAATGGAACCGACCTCATAGGCTCTTTGGGTGGTTTTGGCGAGAGAATTTATGGAACTTTCTTGATGAATGATGGCTATTAAACACGGAAGTCAGGACAGCAGAGAGGGTCTAGGGGTGACCACACTGGTCCCAAGAGGGGAGGGTGTGTATATCTGAAAAAGATGGGCAAATGAAATTGCAGGGCGAGGCCATAGTTTTAATGGACACTGAACGTTTGGGACCAAGTATAATTATCGCTAACAATTTGGAAGGGCTGGTTATACCCTTAGCAGTTCCCCTGAATTATCCTCATAACCTTACGAGTTAGGTCCTACGGCTACCGGAAAGGGGACCTGACCCACAGCGGGTCTGCCTCCCCCTGGCCTGTAGCATGTGGGTTCTTGACTTCATGCAGGAAAGATTTCACAATAGGAGTTTAAAGCTGGGGACAGTGAAATGAGGAAGGGTGTAGGATAGAAGAATCTACAGGGGAGAGCCTAGGCGGGGCTGCTTTAGCTCACTGGGAAGTCGAAAAAGAGGGGGCTTTGGAAACAGGTTCAGAGGGTTAGCCCAGATGGGCTGCCGCTGCCCATTTGGCCCCCAGGTTGCAAGTCTTGTGAGGTCTCTTAGAGTTTAGGAGACGTGCCCTGTAGAGGAAGAAAAAGGAGAAGCGAAAAGTGAGGAGTGTGCTGGGTCCTTGGTCTTGAGGGCTTTAGTTCTCTTGCAGGTGGGAATTTTATGGGAGGTATAGGGTAAGGGCTTTAGCAGAATATGCATCAGTTTTCCAGGTGTGTGCTCTTTCAGTTTCATGGTCTCTACTGATTGGTCAGCGCTAGGGGTGGAGATGGGGACTGTCATTTGTCACTGCAGCCGGTCCTGGTATCTATCACCCACCTCATTTTGCTGCTTTTCTGGGCCTGGAGCTGAAATATACCTGAGACCTGGATGTTATCTTCAGGGAGGTGACCTTCTGTCTGGCTGCGACCTGCTCAGCTAGTTTGTTCACTTGTCTGTCTCAGTTTCCCCATTCCACTTGCCCAGAAATTCTCCCAGCTTCTTACTATCCTGCCTCACTACTACTATTAACATTTTACAAATGAGTAACCCGAGGCTCAGAGAGGTTAAGTAGCTTTCCAGAGGTCACAGAATTAGTAAGTGGGCAACTCTAGTCCAGGATCTGATTGTGTTAAAAGAGCCATTGTAGGTTCTGGAGCAAGGTCAGGTACCAAAGTGTATAATTATGGAGTGTCTCTGATGTCCAGGATTTTCTTGTGAAGTTGATTTGAGAGAGAGAAACCGATTTGTTGTTCCACTTATTTATGCATTCATTGGTTAATTCTTTAATGTGCCCTGGCTGAAGATCGAATCTGCAACCTTGGCATATGGGGACAATTCTCTAACTAAATTAGCCGTGCTACCCAGTCAGGGCAGGATTTTAGAGAAATACCAAAATGTATGAGCCCAGGCCCCTGCCTCCCAAGAGCTTCAGAGTTGTTTGGGGAGATCACGTTGGGCAGAAATCAGCCACATTTTGATGTGTGCCCCAACCCTGTCCTCCCCTGTGCACACACGTTTAATCCCGACAACCCTGTGGGGGTGGCTGTAAGTATTTGCTCTGCAAATGAGGAACCTGAGATTGTGGTGGTGTGGGTATGAGGGACCCAGTTCTGAGGGCTCCCGTGTGCTTTCCTCTCACCCACTAGGTCTCTTTCAAAAAAACAAAAACCTTTCAGTACAGTTCAACTTGTTAGCAGAAGACAGTTTAGAATCTTGGGCCAAGTACTGCTTATGAATGATAATTACCTAGGGGAAGGCACTTGGGGTCATTGGGGTGGCTGGGACTTAGAACAGCAGTGCTTTGGGATTGTTAGGGCGCGGCAGCGTTTAGGATAGTTGGCAGGAGCGGGGAGTTAAGGAGACAGTCTAGGACTGGTTCAGACCGGAACTGATCAGGGCCTGAACTATAGCATGTAGTGGGAATAAGGTGATTCACAGGAAACCTTAAAAGAAGGCTCGTAGAGAAGCATAGCGTGGTAGATTGCAATCTGGGCCTGGCAGCCAGGTTTCCTCAGTTCCAACTTGGCACTTCCTAGCTCTGTGTCCTCAGGCATGTCATTTTACCTCTCTGAGCCTCATTCTCTGCTTTGTCAAACAAGAGGGTTGTTACGATAATAGAAGTTAGTATTGACTTCAGTGTCTGTCATATAGTCAGCACTAAATAAAAGTGCAGTGGTGAAAAACCATGAAACTGAATTCTAAAGGCCCCTCAATAAGATCCCTAACAATTCATTTGTAGTATCTTAGCATTTGTTGTAATTTTTTATTCCTTTTCTTGAAGATGTTCACCAAAATTATACATGCCTGAGGCCCCACAGCATCTAGATCTACCCCTAGAAGGAACTGTACTGTTGTGGAAAGAATATGGGCTTTGTTCGCATAACTTACTATCTCCGTTACTTTGGACAGTTAATTCACCCAAGTATTCCAGGCCTCAGTTTCTCTACCAAGTAAATTAAAGGTAACATCAGCCAGTCTGAGCTGTTGTGATAATCAAATCAGGTAGTACTTGCAAAAGTGATTAGTAAAACTTGGACAGCATTCTATAAATGTTTACAAATTAATATTATTATAATTTGTCCATAAAGTGTATAAGAGGCAAGGATCAAAAGCAACACCAAGGTTTTTATTTGAAAAAGTAGAAGGTGGGTGAGCTAGCAAAATTGATAAAATGATACAAGTAACAGTCTTTCTTTTCTGCCAAGTTTTCTGTCTGATTGATCCATGAGACAGTGAAGAAATGAACTACTAAGCATGCAATCAGAAATTTAGAACTGAAAGGAAGTTCAAAATCATTCAGCATAACCTCCCTCCCACATTTTATGAAAATGGAAATTAAAGCCTAGAAAGGCTAAAAGATTTTCTAAGGCCACACATCTAATAAATGGCATGATCAGAAGAACCAGATCTCCAGGTGCCAGAATCTTACTGTGACAAGTGCAATCTTTAAAAAAATAATTTTATTAATGGTTTTTTATTCAAAATCAGGGAAGGCATGATGCTTGCTCTAGTAGCTTTTGTCTTTGTCACAAAATTCCCCAGATTTACTTTTTGTTTTAAAGGTTGATAGACTGGATGAGGCATGGATGATCTACTGTTCACAAGCTTGTTCAGTGAGCAAAACTTCTGCAGATTTCAAGGTAAGAGTTATAGCTTCAGAAATTAGTAATGGGATAAGCACTGAAAATATAAAATTTGAAAATTCATAACTGGTTACTATTCAAGCTGTGAACGTTACTCAATTGCTTTATGTGGCAAAGGAGAATAATAAAATTACAGAGTGTTTACTCTGGAACTCAACTGCTTCACTTATATTCTCAGTCACTCCATCGTTTCTGGGAGGTAGGAGATAAGAAGGTGCTATTATCTCCATGCCACCAAATAATCAGGAAAGGATTTTTTTAAAATACAATAATACTTAATTAAGAACACTCCCCCATTTACAATTCATAACTTAATAAGGGAAATGAAAATGACATTTGCTTTTGTACCATGTATGGGGGGGGACCAAAAAAACCAGTAATTTATCTGTAAAAAATTGTGTATTCTTACACGTTTAAACTTCACTCACCTTCAAAGTACTCTCCATTTGATGCAATACACCCATCGAGACTATTTTCCACTGTTCAAAACAGTTTTGAATTTGTCAGTTTTGATGTGTTTAGTGCTTCTGCCATGTTTTGTTTCACCTCTTCCACATCAGCAAAATGTTTCTCTTTGAGGACTTTTTTCATCTGGGGAAGAAGAGACATTGGGTGAATAGGGAGGGTGGGGAGTTATGCCAGTTTTTTTGTCAAAATCTATTGAATACTCAGCGTGGTGTGGGCAGGTACACTAAAAAATCACCCACCATGAAATGGGAAAATACATTGTAAGAGTCTTCAAAAAAAAAGTCACCGAAGCCAAATGCAGCCTCTCACAATAATGCTGGCTGGTACACTGATACAGATGTCTTCCTAGAAAACTCATCTAGTGAGGGAAACATGTATTACAAGGGGCGCCTTCCAGAAGATAATTCCAGTTTTTTGGGGGGGTGGTCCCCCCTCACATGAAAAAGAAGTTTGCCAGGCAAATACCTAGGGTAAAGGAGATAATGCCAATTCTAAAAAAAACATTCTTTCTTTAAAGGAGAGAACTCTCATTCAGAACATCTTCCTCTAGTTTCATGTTCTATGTCAAGTGTAGTCCTGCCGCTTCCCAAGGGCTGGATCTGGACCTGAGATGAACTCGCCACTTGTTGAAGGAAGACTCACTCCGAGTTGGTGTGATGCACTCCAAGCCCCTCCCTGACCTCTTCCTGCTCTGTTTTCGTTCTTCCCTTAATCTCACTGGCCTGCAGTCTGGCATTCTAATCAGTTGGCTTCTCTGGGTTTCTGCTAGCAGGAGATAATAGGGGCAGAAGAGTTTGGTAGAAAACAAATTGGTTGCAATAAAAATTTCTTCAATATAACAAATTAGTAAAAAAATGATTATTTCCAATCACTGACTTTTCATGTGTTTGATAATTTTGGTGGTCAAGGATTAGCTTTACTGCTTCTTTGGGTTTTTGAGAATATTTTCGTGCACAAATATGTATTTTTCAAGGATTCATACTGTATGTACTATTTACCCAGTGGCATATTTACATGGTTTTTAAATATCTAAAACGAATTTACTGACGGGCATTTGGGCTGCTTCCAAATCTTGGGTGTTATAAATAATGCTGCAATGAACATAGGGGTGTACATATTCTTTTGAGTTTGTGTTTCGGATTTCTTCGATAAATCCCCAGAAATGGAATTGCTGGGTCATAAAGCAGGTCCATTTTTTAAATTTTTTGAGGTAAGTCTGTATTGCTACAACAGTGGCTATATCAATCTGCATTCCCACCAACAGTGTGCATCAGAAGATAAGTGAATAAAACAACTTTGGTACATTTACACTATGGAATACTACTTGGCTGTAAAAAAGAAAAGAAAACTTTACCCAGTGCGACAGCATGGATGGACATGGAGAACATTATGCTAAGTGAAATAGCCAGTCAGGGAAAGATAAGTACCATATGATTCCACTGAAATGTGGAACCTAATGAACAAAATGAACTAAGGAGCAAAATAAAGACAGACTCATAGGTAGAGAGCCGGCTGACAGTGTCAGGGTGGTGGGAGCTGGAGGGAAAAAAGAACTCAGGAACATGGACAACAGTGTGGTGATGGAAAAAAAGGAGATCTAAAATGAATTCAGATTAAAAAGCACAGTTTTTTGGGGGGGATTAAAAATTTATGATAAACTGATAGTAATGCTTAAACATTAAAGGTTATAGGATGATCCACGTGGGTAAGGTGTAGTTTGTTTTTAAACACGTTGCCTGAGGCGCTCTGCACCTGTGGCAGTCCCGGGCCACGCCCCTAGTCCATTCCTCGGGAGTCCTGCCTCCTGCCTGCTAACACAGGGAGAGTTTGGGCCTATGTTCTTTGTAACCTGCATCAGTGTGTAGGATCTTTCTAGCAAATATTTCTTCTAAGCATGGTCCTACATATTTGCCAGACCTGCCTACCTCCTTGACCTTGGCTAACCCTGAGCTCCTTTCTTTTTTCCCTCCCTTTCTTTAGTATTTTGGGCAGATGGGGGTGGGTGAGTACTACTGCTGATAAGGATAAATTGATGATAGCTAGGATTTAGGAAGTACTTATTATGTGTCAGGCATTGATCTAAGCATTTAATACATATTAACTCAAAATTTTGTAAACCAGGCACTCTGATAAACCTCATATGCCAGATGGGTGCAGAGGTAACAGAGGTTAAGTAACTTGTCCAATGTCAAATTATCAGTATTGCCTGGAATCATCAGGAAGTGGTCATTGTTTAGTTCTCACCAAAATATTGTGAATAGAAATTATCATTTATAATTATTCATGTCATAGGATACTAATTCATAGACTTTGAAGAATGTCTTGACTCAGGGAAATCCTGTTTTATGTTCCTACTGCCCCTGGTAGAGCTAAACATTTATTCTGAAATCTGTTGGCCATGAAAGCTGCCTCTAAAACCAAAGGGTGCACTTCAGGGGACTATGTCTGCTTAAGTGAATATGGGATAGTTGTGAACTTAGGCTACCAAGCTGGGGGACATCTTTTTTCAACAGCTCATTGAGTGTTCTGGAATCTATACTCCATGTTGTGAGCTCTTTCAGTGTGAGACTTTGGACCTTATGACCTTTACCCAGTAGCAGCCAGCAGTTGGAACTCCCAAACAGCCCCACCTCAAGCCTGGTGTGACTCAGGAAGCCTTTTAGATCATAATGACTAGCTTATCCACCTGCTTGGGAAGCCAGACCTGGGTGTTATAACTGGACCTTGATACTGCTATACTGAAGAACAAGGGAAGGCTTAAATGAAGAACTCGGTCTATAATGACTTCTGAAAACCCTGAATCTGTCAGTGTAAACCACATGGTACCTGTGACACCCATGCCTGGGTGAGGTCCAGGGGCTGTCAGCCCCCCTTCTGAGCTCTGTGTTAATGGATTGACACCCCTCTCCCACTTCCTTACCTTTTGCACAGGCCACAAGTTCAGATGCTATGCCTATTGAATTGTACTCTGATAGGACTGTTCGGGGGGGTTTGCTGTCATAGAATAAGGCCATACCCCTTATTTAGGGGAACCTGTAAAGTTTTCAAATACTGCAGCAGAGATGAAGCTGGAACAGACTAGCCTGCTGCCATTTTTAGGGAAACCAGGGTAGATGTTATTAATAATTCAAAGAAGAATCTTCAACACAGAGAAACTTGGAACATGGTAATAGGCGGAACATGGCACTTTGCCTTTTTAGGGTTTGTTTGGACTTACCAGGAGTTGAGTGTTGAGGGCCCTCCTCACTGACCTGGGAGCCGTTGCCACATAGCTGCCTAGTAGGAGCCAAGCAGACACGCTTTCCTGGAGACCCAGAAATGAAGGTAAATATTCATGTTCTGTAAGTCTGTCAAGTTCAGTCTAAATCAAGGATTCAAGCTGAAAAGTCTTCAAGGACTTGGAAAAGTTCATTGGCCCAGTGTAAGATGATAAGGATTGATGGGCAGTACGGTGAAAGGAGGTCCATACCCATCGAGGCATCCAAGTTTCGCATGTACTGCATGAAGTGCTTCCCCCATACAGCACTAACAGGCATTTCTACATGACACGTTATTCAGTGATTAAAAGAAAAAAGGATTCATTAAACTAAACACTTTTTAATCAGTGTAAAAGGGAAAAACAACAATGGCAGAAAATCTGGAGGTAAGAAAGTGAGAAGTAGGCAGGCAGATGGGAAGCTGGGCTGCAAATACTGCAGCTGGCTATTCTGTTCCATCCTGGCCTGCTGTGGCATTTAAGGAGCAGGCGACAGGGTTAGCGGCCCCCTCCTGGGGCATCCTCGTGGTCTCCATGGTGATCTGTGAAAGACCCCAAGGAAAAGTTTAATCTCAGACCGAGGGCCTTAGTACCGGGATCTGGCAGTTCCTGTGTGGAGCTTCTTCCACTGTCACTTTGGCAGAGCAGGATTCTGTTTGGAGAGACCCGGTGGGTTTCTTTACAACTTTATTCGTGGGGGTCTTCCAGCCCAGCCCCGTGGTTCTTTCTCATCACCACAGCGACAGTGACTGAAATGACCCACTTCATCCTGTGCAGTGGACAGCCTTTCAGCCCCAGACCCAAGCCAACCACTTACATTCAAGTTCTTTGCTCTCTGGTGTCTTCAAACTTGTGGTCATTGAGGGCTTTGATTTTATTCTGCTTTCAGAAAGCCCTCTTTAAGTCTTCAGGTGCACATATACTTCTCACTGCTTACCATCTGTAATCTAGACGCAAGAAACTGGAAAATCTTGTAGCAGAAGAGAATTCTTTGTTCCGTGCTACCGATCTTCAGGATAGCTGGTCCTCTTAGTGCCCCGAAGCCAAAAGTGTAGTGATTCTCACTAAGCTCTGAGTACACCATTCCCAAGTACTCACACCTCTTTTTGGTGTCTTACATGTACTTACCATAGCCATGCCAGCAGAGACCAGATTCTAGACAAAGCTGCATACCGCTTGAGGTCAGCAAGAGGCACAAAGCCATAAATTGCAAACAGCGCATCAGGGTGGAAGGCTAGCTATGGCCTACATCTCATGTTCCATCAGGTCGAGACTGAGTGATGGGTCTGCTCATTTTTCCGTTGAAAAGAGAAGGTAACCTGGGAGCTTTACAGCTCCCTCACATGCATCCCCTCTGGTTCAGTAGTCATTCCTTTGATCAACCCAGGAGAGACCACGTCATGCGTGCAGCAGCTCAGCTATGTCTCAGCCGTAGCATGGAACAGTTCAGGCTGTGCTGACCACCAAGCCCACTTACAGGGTTCAGTGGAATAAGAGGTGTGGACTCCAGCAGTTGCTAGGGGGACTCCCAGTTGCTACAACCACACTCCTACACAGGAGGGTGGTTTTCTGCCAAGAATCTGGGTGTAATCCTATTCCATCTCCCCAGATTTACAGGTATGTCACTGAGGTATTCTTCGGCTTAGTCATAAATTGGGTCACTTTTAGCTTGTATCTCAAGAGGTATAAACCTAGGTGTACTTAACGAATAGCCTGCTCTCCTAAACGTTAGGCTATTTTCATATATTTTGTTGAAAATCCTGAGACAAGTAAAGATCAGGATGAGGAGGAGGAGGATAAGAGGCAGGAGATGCAGGATTTCACAGTGTCAGCCCTGAGCCTTCAGCCCGTGTATGTGCTGTTCCTTCTTGGAATCACTTCTACGAGTGAGAGCTGTTTACAGTAACATGGAGGTGAAAGAAGCAGATAGACTAGCAAGAGAGCGGTTTAGTAATCCTATTATTCAAACCTCTTCATAATCCAGTTTAGCTTCCTCACTAATGTGAATTAATAAGATTTCACAATTACCATATTCACTAACAAAGTTCTTTCTACATAATTACTGTTTACACTCTAATAAATTGCTTAGGAAGGCCACCTCCAAATTCAAACTCAATACAATGTGTTCCATTTTCTATTTCTTCTCTGGGGGATGCATGATTATTTTGGGAAAAGCACTGGCTTATGAATTAAATTCTGTGTCTTGCCCTACGACCTCTGGAAGACCTAGATCTCTCTCTTCCCCCTGCTTATTTTTTTAAGATTTTATTTTTTAGAGAGAGGGGAGGGGAGGGAGAAAGAGAAGGAGAAGAACATCAATGTGTGAGAGAACCATTGGATTGATTGCCTCTCACACACTCCCAACCAGGACTCCCACTGGCCCCTCGGTGTAGGCATGTGCCCTGACCCAGAATCGAACCTGCAGCCTCATTGGTTCAGAGACCAGCACTCATCCCACTGAGCCACACCAACCAGGGTTCTCTCTTTTAACATTATAAATGTGTAAGTCTTACCAACCCATGGAAATGGCTGTTAGTGGACCTCCTGAAGTATTAAGCACCTGAAGCAAAAATGTATGCAATCTTTGTACTTTAAAATTCAAGAATTCCAAA